CCCATCAAGGGGATAGATGGTATTTACTCATTACAGTAAACTAAACATGGGATCTATTTTCAGATAGAGGAATGGTGAAAGAGTCACAGGGAGAGAAGGGAATTTTCGTGGGTTTAGGCTAATCAAGCCCAGTCACTGAGCATGAAATTGCGAAAGAAAAAATGATCCTGCAGGGAACTGTCTCAGCATTACCTGTTACAGAGCAATTGAGGCCTTCTCTATTTCATCACGGTTACGCTCCCGTCTGACGTGGAGAGTGTGTCTACAGCCAACAATGTGCGCTAATGTAGGGAACTATTGCACACTCTCTGGATCATTGATGATGTGGCCTCCCCAAGAAAATCAATTCATGGTCTAATAATTTTTTTGATTCAGGAGATTCTCATTCATTCCCCCTCCCTCTCTGATAGGATATGTTAACGACCAAACACTGAAAAAGTGGTGCTGAAAGCCTTTTTTTCTTATATGCATAGAACCATGGGACAGGTAACCTATCAGCAAAGATACCATAAAAACAAGTCACTCTGTTTTCCTTTACTTGGTGGTTAAGGAAACAACAGTCTTGCTGTAACTAACGTCTTCAAATTCTATCCTCCATCTGTCCTATATGGACATCGAACTTGTCTTAATTTCTAGCAGCCTTGGGTGCCTTCAAAATATAGAATATTACAAACTGAATTCCTGTGGAGCTGATGAACATGCAACCAAAAATCAATTCCCCTGACTACTGTTCTCTGAACCGAACATCTTACCTTGATGTAATTGTATGTGTGTTCCAGGTTTTGTTGTTGCTTTCACACGTTTCCATTAGTTTGAAGGGAAGACATTATGGAATATAAAGAAATATAAAAATTGCAGATCAATATGAATAAATGTAAATGTAGCCATTTTCTCTCTTAATCAATATATATGCTGTAGCTAGATTAGCCATAGAGAAAGACTTCTACTTAAAGTCACTTTCTCGCATTTCTCTCATTTTACATAGGCCAATATTCTACATCAAATCTTTATAATTATTTTTAAAGAAAACAGGATTCTTTGAACTAAAATATTGGGGATTGGTAGCGAGGGTATATTTTTAATGGCGTGTGCAAATCCCAGTCACTTATTTTTACCTTTGCAATTTTGGAGCAGGTTGTTTTGCACCTGTGTAGAGGTGCTACTGAATTTTCTTGCCTGGATTTTATAATTTCTATTAAGAAAATCAAACCACTGGATATTGTCTGTTATGTTTTTCTGTATTCCAAAAGGGAGTTACAATAGAATAGAAGATAAAAATTTGTTTTGCATCGGTTTTGCATTTATTTATTTTTCATGGGGTTTTCTGTTAAAAACTGGAAAATCTGCTAGACCAATTCTAAGAGAGCTATAACACTGCAACAGTGATATTTATAAAGTAGGTTGCACTTAGGGCCATCATGAAGACACAGGGAGAAAATGCTCTGTTGTTTATCTTCAACTGCTTGTTTTCAAAAAGAAATGAAATAGAACTCGCTTTAAAGGTTTAAAGTTTTTATCACAGTTCAGGATTAAACATAAAAATGAAAAATAAGCATTTACATCAAATGGAAGTATAATCAAATGGAAGCACAATCATCTTGGTCTTACGATGTGATGATAAAATATACCCACAGACTGTTATTTGTACAACAATTCATCAAATGTGCTGTTCACCCTGCTCTGAGCACCAAAGCATTTCAGAACTAATTAACACAAGCAACTCTACATAGTCAGAGCAAAAACTTGGATACGTTTTTGTACTGGCACACAGTAGATAAAATATTGAGTAAATAACAATGTTTAGCTACTCAAATTCTAGGGAATTTGCATAGCTTAGCATAGTGGTTAAAACACAATGAATGAAGCAAAGGTCCAAGGAAATTCAATACTGGCCATGACATAACCATATTCAAAACATTTTAAGTTTCCAGGACCCAAGGAACAAAGTTTGAACTGTTAGCCAGGGCTTTTATCTTGTCTGAATTATCCTGTTTCTCTCGACAATTCTATTCTCTTTGATTGATGTGCTGTCTACTCACGTACCTGGAGACTCCACAGCCTTTTATCTGTGGGCGCACTGAGCACGTATGTGAAAGGTCTTGCGTCCCCATCCCTGTCTCCCCAAAGACTGAACAGTCTCCAAGCCTAGAAATGAGGCTCTCACCCTTTCCTCCCGCCACCACCTCTCCCCGGCCCGCTGGCTTCTGAGCCGTTTGGTGCCTTCGCCACCCTGGGAGAGCCAGCTCTCTGCCAGTGCAGACCTCGCTCCACTGCGAACTCTTGAAAGTACGAATTACTTGTTGTTCATTCTTTTTTTTCATTTTCCTACAGAATATAGTAGGTTTCACCTAAATTTTTATTTGGCTAAATGGGTTTTTATTTTAAAGTCATGCTGATGGCTCTAAGGTGCGTTTGCAATCACAGCTTCAACAACAATCCGTGGAGACAGAAGTGGGAGAGAGCGGCAGGGAGTGCGCCTCGCACCGCATTCCCCGCGTGCCCCGAAGGGCAGATGGGAGGCTCTCTGGTATTTTTAAGCTACTTGAATTCTCAAGCATTCCTTCTAATCTCGTGTGTGTGTATGTGTGTGTGTGTGTGTGTGTGTGTGTGTGTGTGTGTGTGTTGGAATTTAAAAACAAAGAATCTTATTTTGAATGGAAATGGTTTAACAACACAGGATCATTCACACTTGGTAAGTAAAAATTATGACTCTTTAGATTAGGTGATTTGAAAAACTGACAGAAAGGTCTGACACCATGGCTGGGTCTCCATAAAAGCGAGCACATGTTTTGGCAGTGGGCAAGTTTGTTAGCTCTTGTGACACTTCTGAGGAGTGGAAATAAACTTGGCTAACAACGATAATTGTAATATTTGTTTAATGTGTGAAACTTGCTAAAGTGAGCTAAGAATTCAAACAAATACTTTAATAACTGGTTAAACCAAGAGGCTTGTTGGAATAATCACTGACCCTTACATATAAAATGAAGAAAGGGGCGCAACTCCATCCTGCCTGATCCGTTTCTCCAACTCCGTGGTAGGAAGAAAAGCTCCGGCTGGGACCTGGCCCTCTCCCTCCCTCTCTCCTGCGCACTCTCAGACTGGAGGCTCAGATGGGGCAGGTGGCTCTGCTGAGCAGGCTGTGAACTGCATGAGGAACAGCCGGGGGAGGAAGGGGAAGTCAGAGATCAGAAGGGCATGGGACACCCCTGCAGCCACACAAAGAAAGAGAACTGCCCTGGCTAAAGCCAGAACTGTGCCACGAGGGCCAGAGGGCTCCCACGTGAAAACTACGGTCATTACAGGTATAACTAGAAATCATGATTTCAAAGTATGCTGAGAACACAAAATGTGTGGGTGCCATAGGTGTCCAGCTAAGAAAACATATTGACAAATGATACTGCTCCCTTCATACAATGGATTTGTCTATGTGATCTGACAGTCTTGCAAATGACCTGTGACCCTCCACCACATTTTCAATGTCAGGGATCAGTTAGCAATCAAACCACTGCACCAATAGCACGATCTGGAAACCAGCCATTGACAGACAGCTGCCCAGAACTGAAGGACAGATCCTATGTTGTGTTAGTTGAACCAAACGCACTCATAAAATGCTTCCTCTGTACTCAGACGTGCTGAGAAGGCTGGGAAGAGCCCTCCAGTTTATATTCAAACACCCGAGAGCTTTCTGTGTGCCAGGCACTGCTCGGGACACGGAGAAAGAGGCCACGAGGCCATGAACAAATCAGACAAAAGTCCTGGCCCTGGGGCCGTACAGAGAGCAAGTCTGACGGGGCTGTGCCAAGAATAGGGCAGGGCTGTGAGCACCAGGGACAAGTTGTCCAACACAGGGAGAGCTCGACACGAAACACTGGCCAGACTTCAGGGAACAGGGAGGAGAGAAAGGTGCTGGCTGCAGAATTTCAAAATCTTTACACAGTATTTTCATATCCTCCCCTCAAATTACCATTATGATTTTTATTCCTTTTGGAAATGAAACAATAGAATGCATTTTCCTGAGTTTATCACATCAAGTTTCATGGCATCTACATTGTCTTTGCCCTGGAAATGAGGTAAAGAAGTTGAACAGACCCATATGCCATTAGACAAGTAATGAGATCTCCATGAATTTTTAAATAATCCAATATAAAAAGGCTACGCCCACATCTAGCCTTGTGTTTTATCAGTCTGGAATAAACAGTCTGTAGGACAGCAGATGTGTTTTATTAGATATGGATTTTAAACTGAGTTTTAAAAAGTTTCACACAATTCTGTGGTTTGCGTGAGATGAATGTTTTGTGAGTGTGCTTGCTATGTACAGTTTCTGGGGTGTGTAAGCGCTGTCTGATCAAGCAGTAATTTAGTCACGAAACATGGCGATGGCAGTCAGCCATGGAAGTACCAGTGACAGGATGGGCCTGTGGCCCTTTGCGGAACTCATCTAATTGCTTCTCAGAAAGTTGAAAGCAAGCACCTTTGTTCACTAAGGGAAGCGTCCCAAGGCCATTCTCCATCCCAGCCAGGTGCAGACTAAGTGAAGACTCCAGGGTGGCTGGACAGTTCCCTACTGCTGTCATCCCCACGTCCCGCGTGCACCATTGGCCAGGCACCTGCCCTCCAGCCTTGATGCCCAAGGAGGGGCTGGGTCTGGTCCAGCTGCCTGTCCTGGGCCTGCTCTTTCGCGGCTGCCTGACCTCCAGCAGGTAAAAGGAGCCAGGGAATACCTGGGTTCCAGGAGAAAGAAAAGAAACTGACAGGTCGCTCTATGATAGTTGTGCAGGTGGAGTCTGAGGGAGGGATCCAGGGGCCCAGGGGTGGAGGGATTTGCAGGGGTGGAGGGGAGGGGCTGTGGTTCAGCCTCCTCCTCTCACCGCCCCTCCCCCACCCCAGCAGCCCTTTGTCACAGGGAGGCCACAGCTCTGTGACACAGGGTTCGGCCCTGGTCAGTAGCCCCAAGGGGACTCCCAGGGCTCAGGGGCTAGAGGGCAACAGTGCAATTCGATATGGAGAATCATCTTTCTCCTCTGAAAAGCCTTAGTGACACAGGGCTGAGCCCCAGCTCAGTTGCCTGGGTGGCAGATCTCGTGCTGGGCTACCCCTGTGGACTGGGGCTCTTTCTCCTATTACTCCCCTGCCTCCATGGTGGCCCATCCTCACCAGCCCATGGGCAGAAAGGAAGCATCAGTAAGGTGAGGACCGGCGGCCAGACCCAACAGAGAATGACTCTCTCTTTCCTTTTTACTATTATTTCTACTTTTCCAAATTGACTGGAGACCCCTGAGGTGGGAACTGCCCTTATCCTGCCAGGCCCAGGTGGGGCAGGGAAGTGACAGTGGTGTGGGTTTCTATCCCAAGCTCTCAGACCCCATGTGCAGGTGTGCAGGCGGCATCAGGGCCAATCAAACACCAGGACCCAGGGGCCTGGACGAGGTGACGACAGAGCTGAGGTCTGTGTGGGAGGAAGTCCCCGGGCTCCGTGCATCAGGCATCAGTCCCCTTCCCGTGGCTGGCGCCTCAGCCCGGCCTTTCCCCTGTGTCAGGTGACCTGAGGGCTGTGCTGAGCCCCCCAGAGCCTCCCATCAGAGACCGGAGTGGCCTCTGGCCTCCTCGGGAAGGAGGACCGTGCCTGACAGCAGGATCCATAGGCCTGAGTCAGTGAGTTTCTCCAGCAGAGGAATGGTGACAAAAGATACCCACGCTGGATCTCACATAGAAAATCCCTCTGTGCATGTTTCAAAGAAGGATGACAAAAGATACTTTTATGCACATTAAAAATGAGTAGAAGGAGAGAAAAGCAGACAGAGGTCCCTCAGGTAGGTGCAGAAGGTCACGTCCTCCACAGACACTGAACGTCTGCAGCTCCTCTGGGGGGAGGCGGGTAGGGCCGGTCCCAGCCCCTCGATGTTTCTTGTCCCTCAGCGTGCGGCGGCGATGACGGGGAGGCCCAGGAGCGGGAAGAAGAGCTGCGGCCTGAAAGGTAAGGCTCTGGCCCGGAGTCCCCAGGGGGCTTAGCCTCGCTGATCCTGAGGGACGAGTCTACCAGGAAGTCAGCTGCAGAGGGCTGAGGGGGCTCCTGGGAAGGAAATGGGACCCGGGATTCTCCTCAGATCCTGTGCCGGGCGTGAAGCCAGGCGGGCCGGGAACGGCTGCTGCCCACAGCGGGGAGGTGGGGGTGACCCATCACCAGCTGGGTGTGCATGCAGGTGGGGCCTCCAGGCCCAACTGTGGACAGCGGCTCAGCCTGCCTAAGGCCGGTTCATCTCGGAGGTGACCCCGGTCTTGTCCCCCACAGGGGGCGTGTGGGGACCCTGGGGGATGGATATGGAGAACTGAGTTCACGATAAAGCGCTGCCTGCTGCGCTTTTTTCTGTCACTGCCAGGTTCTCATGGCCTGGACACTGATGCATGGGCTGCAGGGCCAACCCCCGACGGTCTGTCCTAGGGGGACAGTCAGCCTCCTGCAAGATACCCAGGCCCCTCCATTCCGTCCTAATCCGGATCCTGATTTCCAGCTCGTAGAGATGGCCCGAGGGAACTGGAGGTGTCTATGGACCTGACTCCACTTGTGCACAGGTGAGGGACTCTCCCCTTGTCTCCCTGTCCCCCTTCCTACCAGGGCCTGGGATGGGACCCCAGGCCTAGGGCTGACCTGGGAGGGGGAGATGAGGGAAGGGGCAAAGGGATGTGACTGGAGCCCTTGGGCCTGGGAGGGGCAGAGCTCTGTGGAGTCAGCATGGGGACAGTGGAGGGGCGGTGCACCCTGCCTGCCACCCTGGCCCCACCCAGCCCTGCTGCAGCTCGTGCCTCCTGTCTCCCGCAGCCGCCTGGGGAAGCTCCCTGACCAGGGGCGCTTTCATCAGCTCTCATGTCCAGAAGCCCCGGGGCAGGGGTGCAAGGCAGCACCTGCCTGAGCCCACCGGCCGCGTGGGGAGCGTGTGGAAGATGCTCGTGCCACCGCCTCATCCCCATGGGCGTCCCCGGCTCCCCTCGCCCAGCACCTTCCACCTCCGGGCTGCACCCTGTCAGCAGAAGCGCACGGAGACCAGTCTGACTTGAAGACAGTCCCCTGGGCACTGTGCGGTACTGCTCACCTCCAGGTAACTCATGTGTGGGGCCTCCCTTCTCGACCACCTCAGGCCTCGAAGGCATCATCTGGTTCCTCTCCCAGTGGGGGGCGGCAGCCCAGGCCCTGTTATTCCCCACCTCGCGCCACAGCACGCCCCAGCGAGAGCCTCCTCTCCACCCTCCACCAGAGGCTTCGCTCTGGGGAGACCCCGTGCACAGACAGATCAAGGGTGGTGACCCCACTTTCATCAACCCCGATGTCCAGATGCTCCTGGAGATGCTCCTCCCCAGGACAGAAGAACTGAAGCTGTGGAAGGAGGAGGAAAAGGAGGGGTCGTTTCTGCAACACACGAGCCCAGACTGGCCCCGGGTTCTCTGGGGATATGTAAGTCAGCGGGCTGGGAGCCGGACACCGCAACCCCACACTTCTTCTGGAACGCGAGTGACAAACCAGAGCAGCTGCCCGGTCCTCAGCAGCTCCCCGATCCCGCATGGCTGCGTCTCGTTCGGTGAAGTCCCTGAGGCTTTTCCGCTGCAAACTGAGGCTGAAGCGCCTTCGCAGCCTCCCCAGGCCCAGCCCTGGCCCCAGCACGTGACCTGGCCCCAGCCTTGGACTCAAACCTTGTCCCAGCCCCAGCCCCAGCCCCAGCCCCACATCTGGATGAGAAACACACCCAGGCCTCTCTCCCGCCCCACCTCCCCAGACATCCCATCCTGCTCTGCGCCCCACTGTAGAGGGGACCTTAAAGGAGACCCTAGAACCAGCGGCCCCACATCCCAGGAGAAGGCGCAAGTCCTCATCCCAGCTGAAAGTGAACATCTGGGATGGCCTCGCAGAAGCCACAGAGCTGGAAGAGGATTTTACTGTCTCTGCTGAAAAGCGCTCAGGCAGCCTTCAGCCGACCCATTCCTGACCTTCCCCAGGACAGCCGGGCCTCCCGGGCCACAGGGCAGCCTCCACCCTTCCTGGGGCTTCCATCAGTCCTGAGCAGCAGGAGCAACAGGAGCAACATACTCAAAGACTTTCATCCCAGACAAAGGCCAATGGGACCTCCCCCTGCAGATCCCAAGCATTTGAGGGGCTCACAGAGCCTGAGAGTGAATTCCCAGGGTGGGGATCAGAGTTTGGCAGAAGACAAGCAGGGGGCCCCCCTGCCCTCCCAGCCTCCTGGGTGTGCCGGTGAAAGCAGCCAAGGACATAGCCACAGGTGGGACCCAGGAGCTCAGTGCCCACGGTTGTGCCCAGACTGGGGCCCTCTCACAACCCTCTGGACGTCCACTCCCGAAAGTGAGCGCGGGGCAGAGAGGAGACCAGTCAGGGTGAGGACTGACTTCTCTGTTGTCCCCTTCTCTCCTGGACCCTTCCAAGGACGTTCTCCCAGGAAATTGTCAACCGCACCTATAGAGTCATCCCCAAACTCACTGATGGCCCAGGAGGGAAGAACAGAATGTAGAAGGGGCCGGGGCCGAGCCTTGAGTTCCATGAGCTCCAGGGACTGGAGGTTTGAGCCCCACCTGTGCCTCACTCGGACTCTTACAGTGTGAGCTTCGAGTTCTGTTGAATGCACGGATGGACGAAGGAAAGCTCCTGGGGCGTGTTCACGCAGCATTTATGACCCCTCCAGGATCATAGATTTGTGGGTTTCATGCAGGCGTCAGACTTGGGAACAGCACGGCTGGCAGGAAGCCAAGACCCACTCACTGGCACAGAGACCACACCTTGACAACAATCCTCTGTCCAAATGAGCTTTCAGGGTTTTTTTTTTTTTTTTTTTGACATGCAGCTTCTCTGGTCCCTTGGGTCAGCAATTTCCTCATTCATAGCTCTGGGGCCTAATCCACTCATTGTCTGCCTCCTCCTCATCACCACTTTCTAGAACCTTCAGTGAGGTATTTCTTAAACCTGTGCATGGATCTTCTGGGCCCCTCTCCAGATCTTGCCTTTGGTCTCTGCTTGGGTCCTTGTTTTCTTCCGCCCCCATGGAGCCTTTCCCAGGGATTCTTTCCCACACAAAACCCACAAATCTACCATCATGGAGTGGTCAGAAATGCGTGGACACCCCCCAGGAGCTTTTCTCCCTCCATCCGTGCACTCAACAAATACGCGAAGCTCACATTGGAAGGTTCGTGGTGAGGCACAGGTGGGGTTCAAACCTCCAGTCCCTGGAGCCCATAGAACTCAAGGCTCAGCCTCAGCCCCTTCCACACTCTGCTCTTCCCTCCTGGGCCATCAGTGAGTTTGGGGACGACTCTATAGGTGAGGTTGACAATTTCCTGGGAGAATGTCCTTGGAGAGGTCCAGGAGAAAAAGTGACAACAGAGAAGTCAGTCCTCACCCTGACTGGTTTTCTCTCTGCCCTGTCACCTGTGGGGGAGGATGTCCAGAGGGTCCGGAGAGGGGCCCAGTCTGGGGACAACTGTGGGCACTCAGAGACCCCTCCCATTGGCCAGGAGGGCAGGTGGCCTTCTCAGTACCTCATAGGCAACCTCATGAGCAGAACCTAACAGAGCAGGACTGTCCTGTGGGCCAGAAGAGGCAGCCTAGAGCCAAATCCTAGTCTAGCAATGGCCAGGAGTGCCCCATGGGACGAGGAGGAGACTGTGGGCTCAGGAGGCCCCTGCAGTAGCAGATCAGTGCTGGAGCTCAGTGGAGGGTCCCAATCTTCAAGGGCCGAGGAGACCACGGATCCTGCAGAGGCTGAGGAGGAGAAGCCCCCTATTTGGGAAGTCACCTTGGCGGCAAGTAAGATCAGAAACCACCAGACTGTCCTCGTGAAGGTGAGTTCAGGGTCTCTGGGGACCAGTAGGAGCTCCCCGCTGCCTAGAATCTCTCCCAGCCAGGGTGCAGGAGAGCTACAAGCAAAGGTTGTGAGTAAGTTTGAGTTGAAAGTGGAGGTGGAGTCAGAGCACCAGCTTGAAGGCCCTGCCACTGGCATCCTCCTCTAAGACTACGGCACCGGCCTGTGCTTTCCAGGCCGTCATACCAACATGCTACCCCCGCAGACACGTTGCCTTCTCAGGCCCCTCTGTCCGATTCCCCGAGTGTATTCAGCAGGGAAATGTCAGCTTCCCTGGGGCTCTGTGACCCCACATGGCAGGAAGGGAGCAGCTCAAAAGTCCAGGCCCCGTGGAAGGGTGAGGGCAAGGTGTTCGGCCCTCCTGGGAAGACAGAGAGCGGCAGGAGGCCCAAAGCAGAGGAGCAAGAACAAAGTTCTGCAGGACGCAGGACCTCCCAAGCCAGTGGGATGAGCCTCGGTGCCTAGGCCAGGGCATACTATCGTTTCCTGTCAGAAAACTTAAAGCCACCTCCAGAAAGCCGCTTCAGGAAAAGGACCCATCAATTTCTGCAGTGCCTGAAGCTCAACACAAAAGGCAAAGGGCGGGAAGGTCCCCTGCAGGAGGACAAACCTGCGCCAGCCACCGCCCAAGCCCAGGCCAGCCTCAAGGCCGCGTGTGCACAGCAGGGCTGCTGAACTCTGGGCAGTCTTCACACTACTTGACCAGTCCTAGGGGAGAAGTTGGGGCTTCGGCAAGGATGTAGCTCCTTGGAGCTCCATTGTCACCAGGAGAGACTCCAGGACCCGGTGGATGGGCGTTCCTGCTGCCCCAGGGGTCCCTCCCACCCAGAGCAAGGGAGAGAGATGAGTGATACTGCCTGTGGTCACCACACCTTCCCCATGGGCAACAGACATCCTGTGAAGAACAGGCAGTGACAGGGACAGCAATTGGGCCTTCCCACTTTGGGAGCCCATGCCCCTGGCCAGTCCCTGCCAGCAAGAGCGAAGGATGGCAAGAGCCTCAGGCCATCTTCACTATTACCCCACATGGTTGCCTGATCAACCAGACCAGGCTGTGTATGACTTCCCTGGTGGGAACAGTTTTCCCCAAGAGAAAGTTGGGTACACCCAGAGGAAATCTGCTTTGCCTCAGGAAATCACATCCCCTGTTTGTTAGTGGCATCCTCTCAGTAATATATTGCTTCCCAATAGATGTGATTTTTGTCATCAGTGCTGGTGGCTTCTGTCTGGGGGGGGCTGGAGCACAGGGAAGGGGTCAGAGTTGCCCTCCAAGTGTAGTTCCCAGCAGAGATAGGCATGGAGGAGGCTGACGGGTTTGCAGACCCACCCTCACCCCGGGACCTCCCCTGCACCTTGCTTCATAACCCGGTGATTCAGGACTGTCAGACCCCGTGGAGACCACAGCCCAGGATCTGGCTCACCTCTCTTTCCCAGGTTTTCCCTCTACTGTGAACTTCGTGCAGCAGTAGGAGATGGGTTGACAGAGGCCTCTTAGGGCTCCAGGAATGTGGGAGCCAAACAGCATCACACGCCCAAGGGGGCCGGCAAGTTCTGAGGGTGGGGGCGCTGGCCCGGGATTGAGGGACAGGAGAGATCTGGCCCCACTGGATGTCGTGGTCGGGAACAGACGACCCTGCCCAGTGAAGGCTGGGACAGAGACAGGCCCCACCGACCCCTCTGGGCTCAGCCTTGATGCTGGGAGCTCCCTGCTGCACGGCCACCGCCTTCCCCTCTGTTGTGACCTCGTGCACAGGAACCCAGGTACAAATAATGACATGGCATTCTGTCCTGGAGTTGCCACAGTTACTCACACAATTTCCACTAAAAGAAGTAGAAATGTGACGCTGACAGTTTAGAGAGTCTCGCTGGCGGCCTAACCCTACTTAAAAGAAGGTCAAACCCTCGTGCCTGCGCAGCTGTCGTTGGTGAGAACAAACATCCTCCAGCGTGAACACGGTGAGGCTGGGGACCTGCTCTTCTAGGCTTGCGATTTGCCTCTTGGCCTCTAGAGAACTGTTAATAATTGTGAAAAATTTGGGGTTTTAAAAAAATTTGTTTTTGTTTTGTTTTTCACCCAACAAAGTTTAAAGTAAGTCACATGTGCCATACCCTACCCGGAAATTCTGTTAGGACGATCTGAGCCTAAAGTCCAGTTGGTACCCGCCAAAGCAGGAAGGAACGGACAGTGCAGATTCTGATAAAGTGAGGACTCCCCTCTGCGTTTCCTGTTCCCGCCAGGAGCCAGGGGCGAGTCTGCGGCTTCAGCGCGGCCCGGGGAGGAGCCTCGGGTGAACCGTGTCCTGAGACTACCGATGTCCATCAACCCGCAAACCCCCCGCGTCCTTCTCCAAAGTGTATCAACATGAGTTTGAAAATTTTGGTTGGTAAAATACGAGTACCTCAGGTTTCCAAAGTGCAGGGGAAGGCCCAAGGAAACGCGAGGGCAGGAGCTCTCCTAATGCATGTTCCTGGGCTGCTGTCCTGTCGTCGGGATGGGACAGCGTTTTTAAGCTCCCAGGGCACGCGGGACTCACCTTCCCAACACGCAGGTGTGGGGACCGTGGACCCCACTCCTTCGGGTGGAAACACGCTCTGTAGGCTCTGTCTTCTGTTCTACATGTTGAGTCCAAGGCACCTAGGAAGGTGGGGTTCAAAAGGTCTGCCAAGGCAAAGCTGCAAACTCTTCCATCCCAGGAGTGTGCCCCTAAGACAGACAAGGGTGGGGATCGGTTCCCTTTGAAAGCAAAGGAGCGAAGAAGTGACTTTAAGTGACCAAATAGGGTTGTCCGAACAATTCCCCGATCCCGATGGCACCCAGGCCCGCACCTTAACTAACCTGAGGGAACCCCAGCATCTCCCGGGCTGCACCAAAGGATGCCCCCCAAGCCCATCACCCCCAAGTCCTGCAGCCAAGACGCTGTCACCAGGGCTGGCACCTCCCTGTAGCTCCCACCCCGGAACCCCTCACCAGAGCCCAAGACAAGCCACGCCTCCCGCCCATCCCTGTGGAGGTCGGAGAGTCCCCAAGGCCCAGGCCTTGTCCTGGGACAGCCCTGCATCCCCCAGGATCTCCTGCCAGAGCTCACCTGAGACAGCCGGCCTGCAAGGCCACCTGTGGAACTGCGGCTCCTCATGCTGCGTCCCTGCTGCCCGACGCCGCACCCTGTGACCCTGCCGGTCTCTCCAAGGTGCCCGGATTTGGTGGCTCCTGGCGGGAAGGCCACCAGCTGTGACTGTGAGATTCAAATGAAGACGGATATTTGGGTTTCAGAGCTTGAGGACACAGTGGGGTCACGGGCGAGTTCACACTCTGGATTCTGGAGATGGTCTCAAGAGATATTTGACTTTGTCCAATTTTGCACTTTGAATAAATGCAATTATTTTGTATCCCGATTATAACCTCAATAAAGTTGCTTAAAAAACAAAACACTGTGCATATTGTTTGGCAGGTTTGGGGGAATACAGAACAGTGAATTCCTAGCCATTAATCTATATCAGACAATATGTACATGTAAAACTGTTGTGTATATTCCCAAGGTACCCTCCTAAATTTTTGAGCTATTTTTCTTTTCTTTCACCATAGTATCATATTTTCCTCTGACTGGTTCAAGAAAATTAACACATTTCTTAATATTCGTTAATTGATGCTAATCTAGTAGGCAAAAAAGAAAGATAATGATGTCTTTGTTCAGGCTTCCAGGTAGTTCATGGTAAGTGAGGGTGAACATCTTTCCACATATGTTGGTGTCTGTATTAGTTTCCTGTGGCTGTTATGACAAATGATCACAAACTCAGTGGCTTAAAACAACATCAGTTTTCTATCTTACAGACTGAGAGGTCATACATCTGAAATGAGGGCGACTGGACCAAAAATTAACGTGTCCTTTGGCTGCGATCCCCTTGGAGCTTCCAGGAGAGAATAATTCTCCTTGCGTTTCCCAGCCTATAGAGGGGCCCACGTTCTTTCGCTCTTGGTCCCCTCCCAACTTTATTTAATTTTTTTATTTTTTTTCAGAGGTTTCCAACACATTTTATTTTGCAGACTACTGGTTCGTAGCGTTTGAGGACCAACATCTGTATAAATTCCCATAAAATGTCCAATCAGTTTCAGTTCTGCGGAGGCCTCTTCTGTACTGCACACCATGCTTGCGGCCCGAGCTCCAGTTGCACACGCGTGAAGGCTGCTCGCTGGTTCCTGGCAGAGGAGGGGTCCCTGCTAAAGCCTCTGCCAGGGAGCTGCGTCTTTCCAGTGGTGGTTTCCTTTGGCAAGAAGTGCATCGGTCTACACGTGCAGCTTTGGTGCCTGCAAGCGGGAGCATCCAGAAACTTGAAAGACGTGGTGTTTTTCTCTTACGAAGACAAGACACTTGAGGACTCGGTGCCCTGGTGCTTAGGGACAGGAATCCCTCACTGTTTTAGTAGGTTAAAATATAAGAAAGCCTCTGGTTTTAAGTAACATAGATAACACCTTTTTAGGTTGCCTATTTATTCTAGAACTACAGAATTTAATTCAAGAAAATATAGGTCCCACGAAAGAGTTGAAAGTTTCATAAAACTAAAATCTAGTTTTCCCCGATAAATTGTACTTTAGGCAAAAATTCTCCCAATGCTTCTAAAATAGTACTAAAAGGGGCATCTGATTATACAAGAGCAATTAAAAAAATTAAATATTTATTCGAATAACAAGTTTAAGTTCAAGGCTGCAATGTTGGCAATGCAGATTTTTAACACAGATCACAAAAAGCGTGAACAAAAAATACTGGTGCAAAGGACAAAATAATGCTAAGAATTAGGCTAAATAGCTGTGGTTTTAAGAAAACAAAAAACCTGAAATCACTATATAATATAAAATGTATTAAACACTACCATCCACAGAACAGTCTTTATTATTGATTATATTTAAAAATTATTTGTGTAATTATATATTGAATTATAAATGAGTGTTATACACGAACCCCCTTTCAGAAGGCAATTTCTTCT